AAAGCAGCAACCAGCCCTCCTCTTGCCGTTTCTCCACGCACCGCATCATCCCTCCTTCCATCCCTCCCTCTTCCCGCTCACGTTCAGCCCAGCCGAGGGGCCGAAGCCGCCGGTACCCGCCGCTCTGGGGGGGCTGCAGCCCAGCTTGCGGGTCACCATGGAAACAGAGACCCCCCCAAAGATGCCAGGTCTCCCCAATCTCCCTCCCCAACCTCCTCGGGCTCAGCCCCGGGGCACCCACGGGAGCGACCCCGACCCTTGGGGTGAGGATTGCCCCATGAGTGCCCCTAGGCTGGGATAGGGGGGGGCCAAGCCTCGGGGACCCCCCTGACCAACCCCTACCGGGGGCTGCAGGATCCCACCCCCCCCGATCCGTTAACCGAGCAGCCCCCGTGGTGCCGCCGGCACGTGCCGCAGCTCCGCCGGGCGCTCTATAAATGGCTCCGCCACGCTGCGACTCCACTTGCGTGTCTTTTGCCATCTGCTGCTGTCATTAAAAAATTAAATTTCCATCTGCTTTCACACTCCCGCCTCTCCCGCCGGCGCCTGGTGCCGCCGCTCCCCGGGAAGCATCATCGCCCCCGGCTCCTTTCCCCGGGATGCGGCCGATCCGGCGGGGCCACGAGGGCGATTTGCGGGTGACGCCGAGTTCATTTTTGCCGGTGCCGTTTGCAACCGGTTTCTTCAATCTGGGCAGAGAGGTGGGGGCTGGTGGGGTGTACCCCAATTTCGACCACCCATCGGCACGAAGTCAGCTTCAGGGTGGTGGTGACAGGGGTGGTTTTTTTGGGGGGACAGCCCACCCGCCGCTCCACCGACACAGCCCAAAGGAGGCGGTGGGTGCCAAACCTGGGGGGGTGCAGAGCCCCAGGGGTTTTATTCACTGGGGAGATGCCGCACGATGCCACCCCCTCCCCGGTGCTTTTAGGAAAAAAGAGAAAAAACAGTCACCGGTGTCCAAACCCACCCGTGTGATGGGTGCCCCGCGTGTCCCTGGGGAGCTCCTGGGGTGCTGGATCCGGCCAGTTTGCATCCCGGCGGCTGTGGCTCCATCCCGGTGGAGTGGGGATGGATTCCCCCTCCCCGGTCCCCGTGCTCAGCACTGGCTGCACGGCGGTGGCCCCCCCACCCGCCGGGTCTCGCGGGACAGCATGGTCCCCGTGGGCGTGGGCGGCGTGACGATGATGGAGGGCACATGCAGGTTCTTCTCGCCTGGGGAGGCCGCCGGGGTCCTGTCGTTGCCGTTCCCGCTGCTCACGCACGTCTTCAAGCCTGCAAAAATGGGGGGGGGACCAAAGTGTGTGTGTGGGGAGCAGATCAGGCATGGGGCTGCAGCATCCCCCTCCTCCCTGCCCTCCTCCGGACCCCCATGTCCAGCTCAACCCCTTACAAGCCACTAGAGAATCCGCAGCCACCCCCTCCAGCAGCCAGATGCAGCCTCGCACCTCCTTCCCACCCTGGATTTTGGGGTGTCCGACAGAGGCGAATACCACAGCACCCCCCCTCCCCCCCAGCTGCCTGCCCGGGGAGCAAATCGCTTTAATCTGCTTTTTTAATCAGGAGAAAAGCCCCGCGCGGCACAGGCAGCAGCCAGGGAGGTTTCAGTTCTTCCCAAGCAGGAAAATGCCCGGAGGGGACAGACACTGATATTTTTAATCTCTTTTTAATTAAGGATAAAGCCCTGCCTTACATAAGGGAGCTGGAAGAGGGGGTGGGTCTTTTATTTCATTGCAGACTCCAAGCTCATCGGAGGGGTGGAGGGATATTTTGGGGCTCTGTCCTGGATTTGGGGCAGGATGGGGACTCCCTGACTGCCTCAGTTTCCCCTCCTCAGTCACACCATGTTGGGCTGGGGGTGTCTGTGGGACCCCCAAATCTTCTAGACCCCACACTGCCAGCCCCACCTGCAATATCCCCGACACAGGGAGTGGGCACATGGGCGCAGAGCTCATTTTTGGATCACGCATCCGAAGCCATGCCCGTCACAGCCAGCATCTCACATAGGGTTTGGGCTTGGGAAAAGCCAGGGAAGAAGCAGCTTTGCATCTTAGAGAGGGATGCTCGTTAGCTCCCATCCCTAACGACCCCAAGGATGATTAATATGAGCTGCTCAGGGGTCAGCACTGGGACGCAGAGCTAATGGGAGACGCAATATCCAGCCTTCGCCCTGCTCACCCAGTGTGGCGAGGCCAGGAGCATTAAAAGCTCCCGCTTTCCTCTCTCTGCAGACATCACTGCCGCCATCCCCAGCCTAACTCCATTAAGAAAATTAAAGCTAGGGGGAAATTCCTGGGTTGGAATATCCCTGGGGGGAAGCAGAGCAATGAAGGATGAAGGATGCTCAGGGTCAGCCAGGAGCATCTCATCCGTTCCCCAAGCATCCCATCCGTGCTGGCTTTTCCCCACCTCTAAGGAAACCCCACCTGATTTCTAGAGGGATGCCATCAGCTTAGGGATGCTCCAGAGCAAAGGATGCAGGAGCAAGCCCAGGACCGGACCCTTCAGCTCTGGGGTGATGCATGAACAACAGGTCACCCGTGGGACTTGCTTAAATGCCACCAGGTTGCCAAACCACACCAGTCCTGCCCACAGCAGAAATGCCTAAAGCTCCTCCATGTACAACCATCCCCCAGATGCCTTCACAGAGCGGGAGAGACCCCAACACCCACCCAAACCTACCTTTCAGGCAGGATAACTTGAGCCCCATGTTTTCATCCTCTTAGCGGGATCCAGGTCCCCAGCCCCACCGCTGGTCCTCGCCGCTGGTGCTGCAGAAGAGAGGCGAGGGTTGTGGGAAGCGACGCTGGGAGGAAGGAGAGCAAACTCAATTGCTCAATAAAAGCGCGCACCTATGCGTGCGTATATATACGTGTATCTCTATAGGCGCCCGGGCATAACAGGAAGCACGGCTGCTCGGTAGCAAAAACCGCTGGTGATGTCACAGCGCTTTAGTGACTCAATCTCGGCTGCGGAGTTTTAGGAGGAACTTTTTTTTTGGGGGGAGAAGGAGCCAGTTGCCAGGTGGGGGTATCTCACCCCGGCTCATCTGCTCCTGGGGCCGGTGCTGCAAATGTTTCTGGGTGAAGATGTTGCGAGCAGGAGGACTCAGGTTGTTGTTTATGAAGGCGACCGGTGCTTTCAGAGAAAACCCCGAGCCCACGCGCAGGAAATAAGAGGGATGCTCGGCTGCAGCATCGCACCCGGGGCTGCCTTCCTCGGGGCTGAGCCGGAGCAGCCGGGGATGCGCTGCTGGAGAGCGCGTGGTCCTGTTCCGTTTGGGCATCCCCGACCCCCTGAGGGCTTTCTGGTGGATGAAGGCCCACGTGGGACATCACTTTTTTAATCAGCTGAAAATTATTCTGGGCAAAAATCCCTTATAGTGGGAAATCTGCATCCCTCCTGCCTACAGCTGCTGGGAAAAGCTTATTGGGATGAGGGTCAGTGACTCCTTT